TTATATGAATATAATTATATAGACATATATATATATATACACTTATAAGTACATACATATACATATGCATATATGTATACAAATTACATGACTTGGACAAAAGCTTTATGGTACCATTATGAAGGTGTGGTACATAATGTTTACATGAGAGATCTGTTTATTCTTATAAAAATATAATAATTGTATATGGCGTATATCTCGATTATTTTAAATATTCGCGAAAATAAAGCGATCATATCAGTCTATCGATTCACAAATTACGCTATTTAAGTGGATGCTATAATTCTGATTTCTTTAGGTTTATGTACCTTCACCTTGAAAAATTGATAAAAATTGTTACTTTTAATTTTAATTGGCTCATGTGGAGTATTTGGAAGACTTGTTTAAGAGCATACAATGGCATTACGAATGATTAATCAATAATGATCAAAAATTGTGTGTGTGTGTGTGTGTGTGTGTGTGTGTGTGTGTGTGTGTGCGCGTGTATGTGTGCGTGCGTGCGCGTGTGTGTGTGCGTATGTGTGTGAAATTGATTGAATAATTAATCGACATTAATAAAGTTGGCGTTTTTATTCTATTCGCAAGAAAGCCAGTACTTGCTTCATTACGTTGCAAATATTGTGTAAACTTGTTAACTATTACAAGGTCATTCTTCCATAATTGTACATACAAAGCACTGTCATGACAATTTACTTATGGACACTAGTAGTGGATCATGACCAACTAGTCAAGCGAAGGAGGAAGTTCTACAAGCACGAATATAATAGATATCCAACATTCAAACTTTTCGCCTTTTATGAAAAGAAGAATACAGAACCCTCTCACTTTACTAAGATTTAGCATTTGGACTCATTGGATAATGTGAATTGTGATGAGTCCACGATTTCCCGGATGATCCACATAAAGGACGACGTTGTAAAGGCTTTCCTGCACAATGTGTATATTATTAAATTTTGAATTTGTCTTCAAAAAGAGCAGTGCGAGTTTGTTATAAGGAAGTTACGTAGAAGTTTTCTAATTTGCATATAATTAGTAACGTGTATATCGTGTACTTTTAAGTGCATGAAATAACTCGGATGGTTGCTAGTTTATTGGGGAAAGAAATGATAAAATATGTGCATTTCTATTTCCGAATTGTCCCAGTGTCGAAGATATTACTTATACTTAACTTTGATCTTGCGAATAAAATTGATAAGTTTCGATTTCGATTGCGTTTGCTTACACTTTGCACATAACGTAGCGAAGACGATATAAACATGTAAATAAATATTTACCGGAAAGGAATTTTGATACCGCTTCGTAAACGCATCGGTGTAATTGTTGGGGCACTTGCGTGGCATAGTTATTTTGCTATTAAAGAAAAATCAATTTTCATTACAGTGATTAAGATAAATCTGCCGATTTAATTTGGACAACGAGATTTAACTGACAGGCTTGTTAGCAAAGGAAAAAAAAATAAAGTTTAAAAGGTTAATGATTTGTAAAAAGAAATATCGATTAGTATTGTGAATACGTGTACCTGACCAAGGGCTTTTTTGAAAAATATCGCAATCGAAAATACTATAGTAAGTACATGTTACATCTATTATAGATTTTTGTATGCGATATAGATTCAAAAACATGAGCCCAGGACGTGTGCTGTAATGGTTCTTTTTCCTTTTCTTTTTTTTTCCATTTTTTTTGGGCTAATTTACTTATCTTGGATTTAATTCCAGAGAGAAGGCTGGCTTGATAAGCAATTAATATTATGCGAGATAATGTCGTATACATTGAGTTATTGTGATATACATAAAGAAAAATAGACGCACGCAATACATATTCACACTGATACACATTTACATAATCATCATATGTAAATATACATTCGCTTTACATATTTATTTGTGTATACTCGTACATCGCATGCACATGCGGTTGCCTACGTGTATACACATACATATATGTGTATAATTATTTTAGTTACTACATAACGTTCTCTTATCATAATAAATTAATAATGAAATAATTAATCGATCGCTAATAGGTAAGTTTCCTATTTCCAAATGCATTGTTTCACTTCGCGCGACAAGAGGAAGACGTGTGTAACAAAGTACTTAATTTTTATGTTCGATTTTGTTCGGCATTCTTCTTGGACGTGTGTGTGAGAGCGAGAGCGAAAGAGAGAAAGATTAGAGACATGCACAAAAGAAGATTCAGGTACTTTTTGTAATATCTGCTTCCTGAATAATTTATAAGTTCTCTGATATTATATAACTAATTTATTAAGTTGGCGAATTGACAATAAAAAGCTTTTTCGTTTTATAACATTTTTGGCATCTCGAATCTGACCTCAATTATAATGGGAAAAGTATCTCGCGGACGCCTTTTTTTCTTTCTTTTTTTTTTTACATATTAGTTATCAACGTCTTGCGCTTCCACAAACACATGCGTACTTATACTTATTGTCATTGCGTAGCAATTAAGTTATATACTCGCGAGCGACGAGTATAGCATATTAAATACAGCAACACCGCTATTGATCTCATATATTGCGCGACCGTACACGCAAATGCCCTTATTAACGATTTATTATAAAACCGATATGCTGGATATCTCGTAGAGTGAAATTTATAAAATATATTTTAATCATCTTCTTTTGGAGATAAAACAAATCAAGCAAGTGACATTACGCCTAACTGGAGAGAATCACGTACGTTTCAATCTGCTGCATATTATGATATATGTAC